AATGTGTAATAAAAAACCAATGCATTATTATGATATGACAATCTTCCGTAAGCGCCTGTCCTCTGCACACTGTTTTACAGCATGTGTCAGAAGCACTGGGGGCCCCTGAGCTGAGGACCCCCCAGGTGCTCCTCCAGCCTGGGCAGACCCACAAGACTGAACTACAGCAGAGTCTGGACCTCTGCTCTTCATGTGTTCGGATGCATTTGACTGGACAGAAGAAAGAGGCTGCACCCAGGCCGGCATCTCCAAGATGTCTGCCCATTTAAATGAATGTCCTGTGCTCATTGGGGCATGCTCGCGCCATGGACGTCCCAAACATTAGCGGAAATGAAGCGTTCTGGCCAGCATGGAATCTTACGGTCTTAGATAGATACTTGATCCCTGTAGGAGAAATGCAGGTGTCCAGCAGCAGAAACACATCCATCCATACAAACAAATACAAAAATATAAAATCAGAGCAGAGCAGATCAGATCAGAGCAGATCAGAGCGGAGCCGATGAGGGCTAGCCGAGATTGTTGCACTAATGTGTGGATTTATAGAAAACCGATGGGTTTCAAAATAAATTAAAGTAAAGGATGAGAAGACACTAAAATCCTCACACACTCTGACCTTTGTGAAAGCTGTAGGTTCCCTGTCAGCTGAGGACAAGCCTCAAACATTGAAGTTTAAGGGAAAACCTTAAACTAAAGCAGCTATACTCAATCCAAACATTTTAAGACATCCCTCGGCTGTTTCTCACAGTCCTATAATATGTATTTAAAACTACCTTCTACTCCGAGTGCTTCTGTCGGTCTAAACTGGCAGTTTTGACTCTTTGTGAGGTCATTATTTTCAATCGAAGAAGGGAAGGTGAGGTTTCAAAGATGCCACTGACAGCCTTTACCTTAAGAAGTAAGACTGGGATCCATTCTGACATTGCTCTGGGACTGTCCCAACTTGAGAAAAAGCTGTGTCAGCATTTTCAACGCATTGAAATTAAAGGGAAAAGAAGTCGGAAAGTGCCGGTTCTTTTGACTCCTGAAATGATTGCTTGGATGGAGGTGCTGGTGGAGAACAGAAGGGCCTGTTCCATCTCTGACCATAACCCATACTTCTTTTCCCGCCCGGGCGCAGACACCCACATCAGGGGATCAGACTCCCTACGGCAGGTAGCCAAAGAATGTGGTGCGGTGCATCCAGAGATGCTATCCTCAACCAAACTTAGAAAGCACATAGCTACTATGTCTACAGTTCTCAATATGAAAGAGAATGAAATGGACATACTAGCCAACTTCCTCGGCCATGACATTCGCATCCACAGACAATATTACAGACTACCAGAGGGGACACTGGAGCTGGCCAAAATCAGCAAAGTGTTGATGGCCATGGAGCAGGGAAGAGTGACGGAATTCGAAGGAAAGAGCCTCGACCAGATACAAATTGAGCCTGAAGGTAATTCTTGATATTATTAAAATATGTATGATTTTTTTCCCCTAAAGGCCACTTGTATTTTTATTTTCTGTGCGACAGGGAGAGCAGTAGAGATCCTCTCACAAACGGACGGGCTAAAAGAAACTTCAAGCGGAGAACCTTCAACCATTCATCCAGATGCACCCCGTGGTAGTGGCAGTGCCCCTTCTGGTAAGTGTACCAGGTGGGGGATTACAGCCAGGCTGCTTGGTCCTAACCCTGGGAGTGTATATTGCTAATATATTTTTATTTCTCTCCCTAGAACGTGTAAGAAAGCCATGGTCTGCATCTGAGGTGAAGGCTGTGGAGAAGACCATGACACCTTTCATACAGACTGGAAAGGTCCCTGGGAAGTCTCACTGCCTGGCCTGCATTAATGCCTCACCAGATGACCTTAGACATCGGACATGGAGTGGCATTAAATTCTATGTCAAAAGCCGAGATTGTTGCACTAATGTGTGGATTTATAGAAAACCGATGGGTTTCAAAATAAATTAAAGTAAAGGATGAGAAGACACTAAAATCCTCACACACTCTGACCTTTGTGAAAGCTGTAGGTTCCCTGTCAGCTGAGGACAAGCCTCAAACATTGAAGTTTAAGGGAAAACCTTAAACTAAAGCAGCTATACTCAATCCAAACATTTTAAGACATCCCTCGGCTGTTTCTCACAGTCCTATAATATGTATTTAAAACTACCTTCTACTCCGAGTGCTTCAAAAGTGACCATTCTGAGACGGGCAGTTCCAGGTTTGGTCAAGTGACATTTCACAAAGTTTAATCCTGTTTTTACTGACACTCTGATCAATGTTATATCACAAAGGTTAATGAGATGAGGAGGAAGGAGAAACTGATCAAATCGGATGCAGGGCTAGTTCCATATTCTGTGATCTGTGATTAATTGCCTGATTTTCTACTGGACAACCTGGTGGGAACAGATGCAGCTGGTCCTTTTGCTTTTATATATGAATCCCATGGCCTCAGTCGTGGATCTACAGCCTCAGTCTTGGATCTACAGCCTCAGTCGTGGATCTACAGCCTCAGTCCTGGATCTACAGCCTCAGTCGTGGATCTACAGCCTCAGTCCTGGATCTACAGCCTCAGTCGTGGATCTACAGCCTCAGTCCTGGATCTACAGCCTCAGTCATGGATCTACAGTCTCAGTCCTGGTTCTACAGCCTCAGTCCTGGTTCTACAGCCTCAGTCCTGGTTCTACAGCCTCAGTCCTGGATCTACAGCCTCAGTCCTGGTTCTACAGCCTCAGTCCTGGTTCTACAGCCTCAGTCCTTGATCTACAGCCTGAGTCCTGGATCTACAGCCTCAGTCCTGGATCTACAGCCTCAGTCCTAGATCTACAGACTCAGTCTTGGATCTACAGCCTCAGTCCTGGATCTACAGCCTCAGTCCTAGATCTACAGACTCAGTCTTGGATCTACAGCCTCAGTCCTTGATCTACAGCCTGAGTCCTGGATCTACAGCCTCAGTCCTGGATCTACAGTCTCAGTTCTGGATCTACAGCCTCAGTCCTGGATCTACAGCCTCAGTCCTTGTTCTACAGCCTCTACCGTATCTGGGAGCGGATCCCTTACCCAAATTTGGGCCTCCCCGAGGTTTCTCATTTTCTCCCACTGAGTTTTTTCTCTCCGATGCAGGAGGCTCTAAGGACAGTGGTGCTAATCCAGGACACCCGAGACACAGCAACATTTACAGACATTGGTCTCTGCCCTTTATGGACCAATAGCTCTATGTGTTTTTTTCATTGCATTTCCTGTGTTTAAACCGTCCGATTCTCTGATCTGTTTTGGCAAATTTGACTGTTTTGTAAAGTTCTCTGACATAACTACTGTTGTGATTTAGCGCTATACCAGAATAAATTGAAGTTCCAATATTTACATCAAGTCAAAAACACTATATGAAAATAACAGCATTAAAAACACGTTGAATGGAACCCAAACAAAGCATTCCACTTTGGGCTTGCAGTTTGTCTCATTATCTACTGGAGCTAAATCTATATGCAGAATGAGATTGTGTGTCTCACTGAAGGGAACTTATTAATATCCTTTGCTCTGTTTGCGAATGTCTCACTGGAAATTCGAGCATATGGCTTTGAGCAGGCTGTAAAATCACATCCTCCCACTGCTCTGCGACATCACAAACAACCCCACAATCTCATATTCAATCAGTGCAGGTTTAAGACCGCGTTTCACCGTTATCTGCGGCGTAATTAACTTGGGTCTTAGACGAGGTTCAGTCCTGGATCCGGACGACATGTTTCAAAGCACTGGGCCACGCAAACAAGACGATTATTCACAGAGGACTAGTGGAGACCAAATCCACTACTGACTCCAGAGAGAGAGCAGAGAGAGAGAGAAAAGAGAGAGACCAGAGAGAGAGAGAAAAGAGAGAGAGAGCAGAGAGCGTGAGAGACAAGAGAGAGACCAGAGAGAGAGAGACCAAAGAGATACTTGAGAGACTAGAGAGAGAACAGAGAGAGACTAGAGAGAGAGACCAGAGAGAGGGACCAGAAAGAGAGGGACCAGAGAGAGACTAGAGAGAGACATGAGAGAGAGAGCAGAAAGAGAGGGACCAGAAAGAGGGACCAGAAAGAGAGGGACCAGAGAGAGACTAGAGAGAGACTAGAGAAAGACCAGAGAGAGAGACCAGAGATAGCCTGGTCGTACCACACCATAGTACAAATTACATTTCATACTAAGGTCTGGAGGTGCTCCATTGAGCTCCGTGAACAGGTGGGAGGGGTTAACTCCTTTTGCAGATTGAAACGATTGGATCTGAGTTTACCGTGACGTACGTAATGCACCCGAGTCTGTTGTTAGCATTTAGCATTTAGCCTAACCATCTCCTTTGCCGCTAACGGAGCCCGTGGGGAGTAGCGCCACAATTTCTTCCAGCGATTACATTTGCTAAACATTCTTCTTGCTTCGGCTTCAATTTCTTGATAGAACCAGACCGGATTACTTTACTATCGCATTCTTCGCCTACAACACCTGCCTTCCGCGCTCTCTGAGTAGCCGGTCGAAATACGACTGTACGATTGTATTCGCTAACAGAGGGACCAGACCCAGACGTTACATGCAGTGAAATAATGATTGAGCGGAGTCTCCGGATGGCTATGGCCAGGCTAGACCAGAGAGAGACCAGAGAGAGAAACCAGAGAGAGACTAGAAAGAGAGACCAGAGAGAGAGACCAGAAAGAGAGGGACCAGAGAGAGACTAGAGAGACAGACAAGAGAGAGACCAGGGCGAGACCAGACAGAGACGAGAAAGACCAGAGAGAGAGACCAGAGAGAGACAGGAGAAAGAGACCAGAAAGAGGGACCAGGGAGAGAGGGACCAAAGAGAGATTCCAGAGAGATTCCAGAGAGAGCTTTTTATCAATGTTCTTGTCTGCTGTGCACTGGGGACCTCTGCACATGTATTCCAATGTGGCTTTTCTGCAAATGGCAAATAAAATGAGTCTGAATGTCATTTTTTAACAAACTTCAGGTTTTCTTCAGGTTCGTAAACACGCTCATTGGAACAGAGCTGGACTCACGTGTCTTGGCGTTGGCGAGCGCTGGTTCGCTCTCTCCGCTGGGATAGGAGGCCCTCAGCTGCACACTGTACTCTGTCCCAGGCACCAGGTTCAGCAGCAGCAGGGAGTCCACGTCTTCACCCACTGTGGTCTCCAGGACCGACCCAGACACTGCAACAAGAGGAAACACCGGCTTTTTCAAATCTATAAGTTGGAACAGTGATATGAAGACATTATGAAACAAGAATGTGGCACCTGTGCAGAGTTTTAGTAAGAGACGAGAAGAACATGGACATTTTTTATCAAATGATTACGCTCTGTAATGTAGTAGAGATGACTGTTTTAACTGATGACATCTGTTTTGACAATAACCCAGTGTCCTGTTGCTACTAAAACTTGATGGAGTCACAATAATTAGTCCATAAACTCTGCTCTGATAACTACCACAATAAAAACACACACATTAGCCGCATCGCTATATAAGCTGCGGGGATAAAAGGACTAGGAAAAAATATGGGGTTTATCATCCGGAAAGAAGGAATTTCAAATGTAATAGATTAAACTGATTTGCATTATAAGGGATTTTGTCGATAAACATGCAGGAAAGACATTTCCTGGTGAAAATGGCTCTTGCATAAATTAACTGTGATGAAAAACTGCTTAAAAAGGAAATATTTTTGTGATTGTATTTTTATTAACTCAATATCTGTGCTCACTCCAAATATCCCCCACTTCCCCAACTCGAAAACGCAGAGTTAGAGAGGACCGCTGCCATGGAGGTTTCCCTTGTAAACACACTGTGTGTTTGTTTGTGTACGAGTATTTGCGTGTGCTTGTATGTGTGCGTGTGTGTGTGTGTGTGTGCACTTGTTTTCAACTCCTGGTGGGTTCCATAACCTGAGATTCCGCTCACGTCATGGGGACTGGTTTTACGTGGTGGGGCCCGAACACCGGACCCCACTGGTCCAAGCTTAATAATCAATGGGTAATGCTTTTCTAACGGTCCTTATGCAGTCTCTGTAAAAATATGGAAAGGACCCCTGGAGGTTTACTTTCCTGAAAAAAGTGTGTTATGTGTCGGAACCCTGGTGGTGGGTTGCGGGATATCAAGGAGGGGCACACTGGGGCAATTTCAGTCCAGCAGGGTGGAGCCAATCATGGAGCAGCACAACAGAGGAAATCAGGTGTCAGGCTAGAAAAAGGTGCAAGTGTGTGGTTCATTAGGCTGCAAGAAATCATGGAGGAGCACACTGAAGCGCACGCTTACAACCCACTGGTAAGTGCTGACTACAAGTCATGACTTCAAATTGTTATATAGAATTATTACAAATTATTTGTTGTTTGTGCAGCTTAGTCAAGAGTCCCTAATTGATGAAGTCGACTCAGATTCTGACGATTTAACTGTCAAGAAGAAACCTGTAAAAAAGTATGGAAAAAGAAAAATCAAAAACACTTTTCTTCAAGACTCGGAAAGTGACGAACCAAAGGCAAATAAGATTGTTATCGTGCAGCTGCAAAAGAAGAAAAATGGGGGGCGAGTTTATAGCAAGAGACACTTCTGCCTCTACTGTTCAATGTCCTGCCACAAAATGTCCCGTCATTTGACTAGAAAACATGGAAATGAAAGTGACGTAGCCAGAGCATTGGCTCTACCTGTGAAATCTAAAGCACGTAAACTTCAGTTTGATTTGATCAGGAATAGTGGAAACCGTGAGCACAATTTTGAGGTTTTAAAGGCCGGCATTGGAACTTTAGTCCCAGCTAAACATCCAAATTGCCCAGTTAAATCCAGTGAGTTTTTGCACTGTATAGACTGTGGGGCATTGCTTAAGCGAAAGTCGCTGTGGAGGCATGTGGCCAGGTGCCGGCTTTCACAGAAAGATGCCCAGGCTAAACCAGGTAGAAGTAGGGTCCAGTCCCTCTGCTCCCTAGCCCAGCCTGTACCGGAGGGCATCAGCAAAAAGTTGTGGTCTTTAATTTCGGCAATGCATCAGGATGAGGTCACGGGTGTTGTCAAAGCAGAAAAGGGGATTCTGAGACTCGGAGAGCACCTGTACTTAAAACACGGGCATGATAAGACTAAGCATGATTACATTAGGCAAATGAGAGAAGTCGGTAGGTTAATTAACAAAGCAAAAAAGGCAGGGAAACTGAAAACAATGAAGGATTTCTTTATTCCTTCCAACTTTAACCATGTGATTGATGCAGTCAGGTCTGTGGCTGGATATGATGAGGAAACAAATCAATACAAGACTCCATCCTTGGCCCTCAAACTCGGCCATAGCCTCAGAAAGCTAGCAGATATTCTTGAATGTGACTCAAAAATGGAGCATTGTGTTGATGAACTATTTATTAAAAACCTCCAATGAAGCCGGCTGCTTTTTGAGAAGAGGTGGGACGTCTGTGTTTCTTCTGCTGCCCTACAGACCCTCCGGCAAGCCAAGTGGAACACTCCGGACCTGCTCCCTCTGACTGAGGACGTTAGAGCCATGCATGCACATATTGAGGTATGTCGACCTGAATATGTGCAAACCCTAATAAGTGAGCCAACGTCTAAGCATTGGTCTAAACTGGCAGTTTTGACTCTTTGTGAGGTCATCATTTTCAATCGAAGAAGGGAAGGTGAGGTTTCAAAGATGCCACTGACAGCCTTTACCTTAAGAAGTAAGACTGGGATCCATTCTGACATTGCTCTGGGACTGTCCCAACTTGAGAAAAAGCTGTGTCAGCATTTTCAACGCATTGAAATTAAAGGGAAAAGAAGTCGGAAAGTGCCGGTTCTTTTGACTCCTGAAATGATTGCTTGGATGGAGGTGCTGGTGGAGAACAGAAGGGCCTGTTCCATCTCTGACCATAACCCATACTTCTTTTCCCGCCCGGGCGCAGACACCCACATCAGGGGATCAGACTCCCTACGGCAGGTAGCCAAAGAATGTGGTGCGGTGCATCCAGAGATGCTATCCTCAACCAAACTTAGAAAGCACATAGCTACTATGTCTACAGTTCTCAATATGAAAGAGAATGAAATGGACATACTAGCCAACTTCCTCGGCCATGACATTCGCATCCACAGACAATATTACAGACTACCAGAGGGGACACTGGAGCTGGCCAAAATCAGCAAAGTGTTGATGGCCATGGAGCAGGGAAGAGTGACGGAATTCGAAGGAAAGAGCCTCGACCAGATACAAATTGAGCCTGAAGGTAATTCTTGATATTATTAAAATATGTATGATTTTTTTCCCCTAAAGGCCACTTGTATTTTTATTTTCTGTGCGACAGGGAGAGCAGTAGAGATCCTCTCACAAACGGACGGGCTAAAAGAAACTTCAAGCGGAGAACCTTCAACCATTCATCCAGATGCACCCCGTGGTAGTGGCAGTGCCCCTTCTGGTAAGTGTACCAGGTGGGGGATTACAGCCAGGCTGCTTGGTCCTAACCCTGGGAGTGTATATTGCTAATATATTTTTATTTCTCTCCCTAGAACGTGTAAGAAAGCCATGGTCTGCATCTGAGGTGAAGGCTGTGGAGAAGACCATGACACCTTTCATACAGACTGGAAAGGTCCCTGGGAAGTCTCACTGCCTGGCCTGCATTAATGCCTCACCAGATGACCTTAGACATCGGACATGGAGTGGCATTAAATTCTATGTCAAAAATAGAATCACTGCAATTCGAAAAAAAAATCTAAAATAAAATTCCTTTAAAATAGTTGTTTGGTTTCTATTGACTGTTTTGTATTACTTAAAGTAGTCCCAGTAAAAAAAGATTATGTCTATGGGTCCCATTCTGAACGGCCCTGTCAAAGGGACCCACCAGGTAACAAAAACGTGTATGTGTGTGTGTGTGTGTGTGTGCGTGTGTGTCTGTATCTGTCTCTATGTGTGTGTCTGTATCTGTCTCTGTGTGTGTGTGTGTGTGTGTGTGTGTGTGTGTGCGCGTGTGTGTCTGTATCTGTCTCTATGTGTGTGTCTGTATCTGTGTGTGTGTGTGCGTGTGTGTCTGTATCTGTCTCTATGTGTGTGTCTGTATCTGTGTGTGTGTGTGCGTGTGTGTCTGTATCTGTCTCTGTGTGTGTGTGTGTGTGTGTGTGTGTGTGTGTCCTCTACAGAGGTCTGGGAGCCTGAGGGTTGTATCTGTGTGTGTCTGGTTGTTTGTCTGTATCTGTGTGTATCTGTCTCTGTGTGTATGTGTGGCAATCTGTCTTTGTCTGTTTCTGTGTGTGTTTGGCTCTCTCTGTGTATGTGGGTCTGTCCGTCTGTGTGTGTGTGTGTGTGTGTGTGTGACCATCGTTTAACTGCTCTGAAGTAATTGAGACAACCCAGTTTTTAGCTTCTGTTCTGATGAGCGTGCTTAAAAAATGTCAACTAGTTTTGTATGACTTCCCAGCTGCATTGTGGGAGCTGGCTGGAGCTGATCCGGACAGATGCTGTAGCCCGTCTCCGTGTGTTTAGATGCAGACGGGGGAATCCTGGCAGAGTGGACGCCACAGATGCCACCAATTGCATGCCGGATTAGAAAAGAAATTCCTTCAGGACAAGCAGAGCACAGCAACATGAGGCCTGACTTGGCATCGCCCGCTGAACTGTAGTGGAACGGCCAAGAGTCACTTCTGCAACACGGTGGATCTGACACTAGGCTAAAGTCACAGAATATATACTTCATTCTTCTTCATTATGCTAGTTGGAGACGTTATTGTATTTAGTATGGAGTTATTGTTTGTGTTTCTTGTAGGGATGTACCGAATCCAGGGTTCGGATTCGGCCGAATATTGGCTTTTTTCACGGGGTTCGGTTTCTGGCCGAACCTTAGAATTTTTCCCCACCGAACCAGAACCCTGCACTTACACTATGCACGCTGTGGCGGTTGGATTCGTCACGGAAATCAGATTTGTTCGGAAGTGTAAGTTTATATCCTCTTGCTCTCTGTTCCTCTTCGGGTGTGCTGAGGTCTCTTCCTGGTCATGTGATCCCCGCGGACAAATTAGCTCTAGTTATACGCCGGTGCGAGGGGATGTTATGATTCTTGTTTTCACCTGTAATGCAGTTCTGATGGATCATAAACTAACTGTCTATTCACCAACTTTATGGAGGTGATTACCAGTGCCAGGTACTTGTCATCTGAGCTGCGTATGAAGCAGAGTTGGTGAGTCCATGTTTAGGCAACTAGCCTCTTAGCATTAGCTTCTCTCCAACTTGTCTCTGACGAGTTTGGCATATTTCTCAATTGTCCATATATGTAATGTTTTGACCTGAACCAGTGGAAGCTATTTATGCATGTGTGGTGCTTTAGCTCTTATTTCTACATGACATGCACAGTAATATATGTACTTTATCACTGAAGCTTTACACTGCTGTGAACTGAATGTATTTGTGTTTAATGATAAGCAGGATTATTATAAATGTTATAATAATAGATTCTGGTCGAGCTACATGTCCAATTTGCAATGCCCATTTGTCTCGTAAGGACCCTAAACAGTACACAACACCGCCGCTGTTAAAACATTTGCATATGAAACATAAATGGACTGGGGCGACAGTAGCTCAGTTGGTAGAGCAATGGTCTTTGGACCTAATGGTTGTGGGTTCGATCCCACTACGACCCATGTCAACTGCTCCCACTGATGTCTGCTGTCGTTGTGTCCCTGGGCAAGACACTTAACCCCAATGTGCCTGAAGTCCCCGCTGAAAGACCAAGGCTGCATCTGTGTCGAAGGAGCAGCCATCTTCCCGTGGACCCTCCACCTGCAGGAAGATCAGCAAGGGACTGGTGCTT